GGAAAATAGAAAAAAAAAATTTATGGATCCCTTTTACATTATATAAGGGCACTTGAGTTTTTTTATATAAAATTAACATAAAATTGTTACTTTTTCAACCGAAAGACTAAAGAGTTAAACGGAGGTGTACGTAAGTGATTATAAAATAATTTGTATAAACAGTAAGGATAAACTAATAAATTTTGTAAAATCCAGGGACCTCAAAATAATTTTCTCATAACTTATCCTCAAAATGAGTCACATGCAAATAGTTATAAGGGTACAATTATTCACATGTATGCCAATTAATATGAAGACAACAACATTGGGATGAAGAAAACAATTTAGTTATGTTAGGTTCAGTGTCATTCAAGATTTCATCTCCATGCAAGTTGCCTCCTCTTCATCACCATCTCTCTCAAATCATTCTCTAGGGTTTTTTGCAAAACTCCATCTCCTACAAGCCACAAAAGCTTGTCAATCCCATCATATTTGCACACTTTTGGGCAATAATAATTAATCTAGAGTCAGAAATGGCGGCTAAATTTTTGGGAAATGGGATTCAAATCATATGAATCGATGAATTTCTAGGGTTTCAAAGGGCATATATATAATGAAATTAGAATCCTAAGTTGTTGAAAATGATAGAGAAACACTTTGTGTAGGATCTGGGATTGGATCAATGAAAATATATATGTTTATGCATATGCAAACATTTATCATTTAGGGGTTTGTTGTTGTCTAGTTCTACCAGAGAGAATATGCCATTTATTCTTTACCTTTTTATAATGTTAATTGCAGGATTTGTATGATTTTTGTTTTTGATTCTTCTTTCTTGTTTTTTTTGAGAGAGGGGACATCTTTCCATGTGATTTTAGCTATAGGTACTCTTGTCCAGTTAAATCATAAGTTAGAAATCTTTTTGCTAATCAGATACATAGTTTGATTGGTCTTTTTAATTTCTCTTTTTAGTTGAAGTACTCTGATAAGAGTTTATTTTATTTTCGACAAAAAACATTAATATTCATAAAACACCATATTCTTCTAAGGATAACAATGGAAATTGGGCGGGCAATAGCTAATTTTGTAAGTCATTTTCCTATCAATGAAAACTCAGGTCCATGAAAAAATAAAAATAACAATAATTATAAACAATACACCAATAAGAATATGTCAATTTTAATTGTAGATGATAAAAAATCATATGGTCAAATGCATAAATTTACTTTTGTACTTTATATAAAAATTTTGTGGCAGTTTCAACTTTTACTTTGATCAATTCATATTTAAACTTATAAAATTATTTTATTAGATAGTTAAAAAAATATGAAATTATTATTCTAAAAGTTGCACTTATTATGTGGCAAATTAATATTTTGCATATAAAAGTCAAAAATATCAAAAAAAAAAAAATATTACTGCTAATATGAAGAGATATACATGTTATCAAAATTAGCAATTTCAGAGGCACAATAAATGTCCTACAAAGTCTAGGATAACACAAAGTTTATTAGGTGGGAAGATGTCCTAAATCCATTCCTGTAATTGGGAAGTAGGATTGTCAATGGAGTTTAGTACAAAACGTGGGTTTGCACTATAGATAACTAATTTTTAGGGGTTTTTTTTCTTAATTTGATGAGGGAACTTTGTAATTCTAGAGAATGATTTTTTTTTTCTTCATAATAAAAAAAGAAACACTGGAAAAAAAGAAATAATAAAAAACGAAAACAATAAAAAAAGGAAACACAATGAAACGCAAAATCTGTAAAAGCAAATTTTTATACAATTTATGTAATTTAACCACGACAATCATGACCGGTAATGCTACTGGCGTCTGGCGACTGCGATAACAGCAACGGTAAATAAGATATATATATATAATGTATTAGTGAGTACTGTAAAATCAATTAAATATATAATAGGCAACGGTTAAATAAGATATATATAATATAATGTTATTAGTGAGTTGTGTAAATCATACAATTTATGTAATTTAACCACGACAATCATGACCGGTAATGCTACTGGCGTCTGGCGACTGCGATAACAGCAACGGTAAATAAGATATATATATATAATGTATTAGTGAGTACTGTAAAATCAATTAAATATATAATAGATATATATACATCAATTAACATATTGAATCAGACTAAGTAAATACTGTATATATATCTTTTCAAGTATTGGATCATGAGAGATTTTAAATTTAAATTTATTATCTACTTACCATTAAATTATACTTTATTATGTATTTACATTTAACAATATACAAAGCGTATACAATTACCAATTAAATTATCCAAGAAAATGAATAAATTTTAACAGAATTACAAATTATTTTTAAAACCATAAAACCCTCGAGTTAAAAGAAACAAATTTCTTGGATGTATTAATATCGTTATATATGTACTTTCGATAAGAAAATGATGGGCAGATTAAGGAATTGGATAATAATAAAGACAAGGATAGTGAAGAAAAGAAAAGGAGAAAAAATTAATTAACTTCAATACCATTCCTCTCACGTACGAAAATAAATAAAATAACTCAATCCCCATGTCATCTTTTTTCTTTTTATATCCCCTTAAATAACTCAATCCAAATCAAGGATTATCTTATCTTTTTTTTTTTTCTTTTAAAAAAATATCATTCAATTATTTTTATAAGTGCCTTTTGTTGAGTTCCCATAAATATCTTCTTTATTCTCATAAAATAATAATAATAATAATAATAATAATAATAATAATAACATTTTTCTTTTTTATATATAACAAATATCTCTAGTCTAATTAGATTTAATCTTGCTTGTACCGCATTAGGCCTTTAAAAAAAATCTCTTTCATGGAAAATTTTCTTCGTATCGAATACTCACCTCCTTAAGTAAAGGTTTTGCACTTTTTCACTCATCTCAATACCCTCTTGATAACAATAATATATTTCTTTTCCATAAAGAATCATAATTTTCACATATCAAAATGAATTATAGAAGGGGTTATTTAACAAACCTTTTAAACATTTTCAATGCACTAAAACAATAATATAATATTGGTTTTAATTTTGTTTTTCTCTCAGAGAAATATTGGGCTTTAATTCAATTAAGGTTAAATCATTCCCTAACGAAATTTTAATAAAACAAACTATTATTTTATGTAATTGTACAAAGAGGTCATTTTTCCATTTCAATTAATTTGACAAGTCGACATATCATATTGTCATTTTCTATATGGTTTGGTGTCAATTTTTGGAGGTTGTTGGAAATGATTTTTCAAAGATTGAATTCTAAGTGGGAAGGTTCTGTACAAAGGCAGTAGAAGTGGCCAAAAGACAGTGTTAGCCACTCTTCATATATAAATTATATGAATTCCATAATCAAATTAAAGAGACATTTTTTTTTTTTTTTTCTTTTTGGCTATTACTTTAGGGTTTTCTTTTTGGCAATTTGGAGAGCTCTGGTTGTCTTGCTCTATTTGGTTTTGGCACTTTTGGTGAGTTGGAAAACAAGCATGGATTTGTCTAGATTTTCATGGCCTACTTTGTGGTGTAATATCACTAGTTCCATCAATTTAGTGGAGATCTATTAGCTTTCTAAGCACTTGCTTTCTCTCTCTCTCTCTCTCTCTTTCTTATTTTTCTTTAAAAGATTAGCTAGTAAGAATGTCTTTTCCTTTTAACAAGTAAATCATAATTGATGAAATCATTAAAATATCTTGACATTTTTAAAAATTTTGCATGTAACTCATTATATTGTAGGGTATGTTAAACAAAAGTAAGGTGTATATGAACAAGATATCCAACAACAAAAATAACTAAAGGATTAAAAAGTGGAGGATAACTAATAGCAGTTTTTTTTTTTTTTTACCTTGTATTACCTTTAAAAATGTTCCAAGCTCTATTTAGTAAAATTAATTATTTTGGTAGTTTTAATAGCATTTAATTATTTAACTGGTTTAATAATTTTTCATAAAACGCAAAAAACTAAACGTTACATGAATTAACAATTCTTGACGAATGCCTCCAATGCAATTCCAATTTTTTAAAACAAGTAAGCGTTGGTTCAAAACTAGTTGAAATTCTCTATTTCAAATATCTGCTTTGATCAAATAATTTTTCAAAAATGTACATATATTTTTTAATTCTTAAATTTTTAACCTAAAACTTTTAGTTTTTTATTTTATTAATTCTACTCCATTAAATAATCTTTTTTAATTGGATGATTAAAAAATTGTCTATCCCAATTCTACCGGCTTGGACAAATTATTCACTATCAGAAAAAGAAAATGAAAAATCTTTCTTCTAAAAGAAAGAAAATCATAAATCAAACATAGAAAATTTAATTCTTGAATTACAACACTATTTTTCCTATTTTTTCTATTTCTCCTATTTTCTCATTAACCGTACCCCCAATTACTTTGTGTTATTAAGTTGAAAACTTTCTTAAAACCTCTTTTTTACATTATATTTTACTATGTAAACTTTGTAATTTTTTTTAGTAGCTAGAACTAATTCCAACCCAGAACGGGAATGAACTGCCTTCCACCGGTCTGATCATGATTCCTAAAAACATCAACATCAGCACCAAATATGATTAACTTAATGAATAAATAACACAAAACATGCCACATAACCCCTTAAACAATCAAAGTGGTTTGGGCTGGCTGACCTACCAATCCATTTATCCATTCGCAAACTAATTTTGTACAAATAATACTCTCCTGACGATAAGACACATCTTAATTTAAATTTTCCTTCAAAACCATTCATTTTGCCACTAGAATTTTCAGACCCTCTTGGATATGAGACAGATGTTTTCATTTTAGAGTTCCTGACTGTCCCTCTCTAAATATTTTCCAATGATTCAAAGACCTTGCAGAGAAATGTTGAGAAAGCATTTCTTTTGAGTTCAGCAAGACAAAACATTCATAACTTTGGAACTTTAACAAGGCATTTCATTGTAAAAACTTATTATTTCTAATCTTAAATCATTCTTACCTGTTGCATTTACTAAGCCATGAAACAAATTATTTTCCGTAGCAAGGACCACATGAAATTAATCATCTTCATGAAATTCAGTTTGTAACAAGATGATGCGCGTAGCTAATTTCTTATATTATGATTTATACCTTTCTCAAAATCTGATTAACGTGAGGTACAGAACAATCAGAAAAGGTATAATCTGATAAAGGTGAGCTAAAGAACAATCAGAAAAGGTATATACCTAGAGCAGCTGGGATTCTCACTGCCTATCGTGCTCTCTGAACAGGTGATCACTATATTGAAGACTGCAGATTCAAATCAGTATTTTGAGCTGCTTTCCATGAATATCAAATCTCACCTGTTCCAAGAGGCTGCCTTGAGGTGTCACCAGAAGCCCATGCTTCATAGTCTTTCACAAGCTGCACACAAGTGAAAGGAAAATATCAGTCCACAGGATGTGGCGATGACTTAAATCAACCACAGAACAAAACATTCAAGTCACAGAATGAGGTAACTAAATTTGAATATAAAATTACCGACAATGAAAAAAAAATTGCTTCCCGGTTCTGAATAGTTCACAACAAATCATAGTTCACATGCCATTGAATGAATAAGATGACCACAAAGCAAAACAATTAGCAGATATCAGTCATTTCTCTACTGTCATAAAAACAGGGGTCATTTGATGAGATTTCAAAAAGGATCTTAGCCAGTGATGCTGCCTTTTGTTTTTCCATCTTATGTCCCCTATTCTAACGGACACAAACTTTTAGTGAACAAAGGGAATAAAATAAATGAATTCACACGAAATATAAAAAAATATAAAGAAAACTATCCAGTAGTATTGCCCACATGATTTCTTCATCTAGTTTTCCTCATCATTAAAAAACTAAACTTTAAAAAGGAATCCAGATAAACCGTCTCCAATCAACCGTGTTTATTTTTTGTTTTGAGGAGTTGGATTTTCAAACCTATCCCTTCTAATTTTCAGTCAGCTGCATATAATTTGTTATTTCCACAATGAATTAAACGTAGTATGGATCCATCGAATGGCATATATGGGTAGAAATAAAATCGTTAATTAAGCAGGGCATGAGCCTTGAAAGTTAAGGAACAAACATATTACGTTACTTTTACAAAAAAAAGAACAAAGTAAAATAAAAAATAAAAAATGATAAGTTTCAAGCTTGAATCCGAAAAGATCTGTATCTCTTTTGCCTCATATAAGTACACTGATATATTTGACATGGCATAAACACTGATTTAAAAGGCAATCAAAGCTGCATACGAGGCGCTTCATTTTTTGGTGTAAGATGCAACACATGAAAGCCTCAAGTCTGGAATTATGGTTCACATTTATTTGACCCCAAAGCCATGTTGGACCAACTGATATAAGTTCTAATCTAAGGACCAGTTTTAGCATATCCGTGAACTTGAAAGAAACACAGGTTGAAAATCGAAAAAAGCACATATTTTACCAATACAGCAGCTATTACAGATGTGATGTTCTAAACATCTTAAAAGTAAATCCAGTTAATTTACCAAGTACCTTAAACAGCTAACCACATCTATTTGGTTATAGAAGTGCAGACCTTACTCAATATTCCACCTTTTATAGGCCTTTTCTTTCCTCAAACAAAAGGCTACCATGCATTTCTCACATAAACTAAAAGCTTTTTTGCTCTTGATAATTCAAGAAAACATTGATTTCAGGAAATATCTAAATGAAGAGGACAGGTTCTAGGAGCAGAAGAAGTATGTTGAAGAAAGAAAAACTAAAAAAGTAGCAGATGAGATGTCAAATCTGACCCTAGTAATTAAGAATGGACAATATATGGACAACAATATCCTTATAAATACAAATTTCTATATGAAAACCAAAAAAATGTGTTTTGAGAATTAAAGGGTGTATGTATATTCAGGAGTTATCAGCACATTACAAGAATATGACAATCCAAAAAACCAAAATTTTGAACATTTCATGATGTAACCTAAATAACTGAGTACTGGGCAGACCAAGTTGCTTGTTTCATTTATTCATAAGCAAACCTAATAAAAAAATCTCCAGCAAACCTGTGCCATAAAGCGCGGAAGCATAAGTCCAAGTATTTGTTCAAGGATTCTTGTCCCAGTCGATTCTATTGCTGGAACTGGAATAGCACCAAATGCAAAAGGGACCTCAATGCTTACCTAGAATCACATAAAAAAAGCTATAAACAATACTGTGACATATACAGGGTTGTGCAATTTTGAAGTAGATGTCATCATTTTCTGAAATACTGTTACACTATACATAAAAAATAATCTAGCCAGTACCTCAATGACTGCATCAGAAGTAAGTTGTTGCATTGATGAATTACTTTGGCTGCTACCACATGAAATATAGTTCACCATAGAAGCTGCATAATAAGCACAACAATACTAAATAAGTGACAAAGCAGTCTAAAAACGCTATATTTAGCAAATTGATTTGGAGTCTAATCCCGATTCATGACTGTTCTTCCACACCAAGAAGTAGGAGAAAAGACAGAAGAAGAAAAATTCCGTTATGTTAATCTTCTCATCATTCATAAACATAGTTATTAAAGGCATTTCTAGGCTCAATAGTCACTAAGTTCAGTGCCTATAGTCTGGTGGCAGTCTATTGAGGAATGCACTTTCTTGCCTAGGTGTGCTGTGTGCGCGTTTTTCCAGGCATAAATTGCAACAAAGGCGTGCCTTTGTTATATTTTGACTGCTGCCATTTTTTTTTATTTTCTAGATTTCATTTGATATTGAAATTAGATTGGGCAGTTGGTTTATGGTATGTTTACTCATCCAATTAAAGTGAAGGAAACAAAAAAAAAAAAAGAGCAGAGGAAAATTCTCGAAATAGAGTTTCCAGAGTGTCCTGTAACCAATTTTCACTCCCAATCTCTTCATTCTAATCTATTCTCCTAGTTTAAGACTCTCTGAGTCTCTGATTTTGCTTTTCCTTTTCTCCAACTTTTTTTATCTCGATCCTCAGGTTTCTATCGTGTAGTGGTGGTGTTCCCTTCCGCATGCTCCCTCTCTCTCTCCCTATCTCTCTCTCTCTCCCCTCTCTGTACTTTTCTTCACTCTTGTCCTGTATTTTCAAAATCATGCCTGACTGATGGACACTTATTTCCAACAACAAAAAAAAGAATATATCTTTGCAAAATAGATTGTCTTTCCATTGTTTGAATGGTTTCCAGAAGTCATACTTCTGGTTAGACCATATCAAAAACATCCTCTGAAAATAATACACGATGAAAGATACTGAGGATTGTTTAAGAAGAAATGAAAATGGCACTCAACAAAAGCATGCACGTATCTAGTATTTCTAGAAGGTAATGAAAATGCAAAATTCAATTGAAGATGAATGCATACTGTCTTTTACAACTGTCTATACAATCAACTTTTTTCTCATAAAACTAATCAAGGAATCATGCTCTTTTATCCTAATAAATAAGTAAATGAAATTAAATAAGGCACCAACTGAGTTGCAAATTAGAGAGTCAAACCAAGCAGAAATGAAGATAAATAATCGATTGGAGACTACTACAGACATAATATCTAAGCATCTAACACACATTTAGTTTAACAGCACAAAAAAGAAGAAATGTCTTTCTCCCCAGTAGAAAAGACGAGAAAGAGGAAGCAGGTACTAACAACCTGACTAAAGAGGAAGAAGGTATTAACAACCTGACTACTTTGGTTATTACACTACAAGTCAGATATCCAACTGCTAGACTACTGGCCTATAGGGGAGGTATGAATATTTCAGCAATGGAGCTGCTCAGGAAAGTAATGCATCATATATTCGTGTCACAAAGATGAAGTTCTAGTGTTAACCAGCATAAGGAAGTAATATATCTTACTTTGCTTTTCTGGGTCCAAGTAATAAGCAAGCATCTTAAGATAAGTAAAAATTTCACACCTGTAATTTCCAGTATCAGTTTTAATGATTTTGACAAAAAAAAAATTATATGAAAATAGCCACCAATTCACAACAGCACATAATGTTAAATATCCATAACATAAGGTCTGGAAAAGCAATTAATTCAAAGTTGGTACAGTGTACAAACAAGTCAGACCAGTGGAACAAGATGATGCTATATCACCTTGCAGACAGTCAGCCTAGGCCCATGAAAAATACCACCATTCAAGTCCATTAAAGAAATACACTTCAAACATCATGTTTAAGCCATGCAGAAAGCCAAATTAGATCCTTGTATAATATCTATTTTTGATAAAAAAAAAAATCTTACCATCAAACTTCTCATTCTGTGCAACCACCATGGGCGAACCCTCAAGCTGCCAACAGTCAACAAATCATACACATTGAAACATAATGAAACCTCTAACATGCCATAAAAATCAAACAGAAATTAATATAACCATTACAGATAAATGAAAACCTAATTTACTGAATGTTATGTTCCCAGTCTCCAAATTACAAAATAGGCTACAATAACCAACCACAGTATAACTGAAGCTCAACAGAATAAAAGAAACATCAAAATTAATTTTAAAACGAGTAATAAAAAAGGCATAGCAAGCGAACGCTACCTTACATGATAAGAGTTTAATGCAGCAACCACTAGGCTGCTCTTCAACTCTAACAAGCAAAACGGGGCAAACCTCAAAAGCGAAGAACTTGAACCTATAAACATAACACCTAAACGTGTTGTCGTCCACTCTCTCTATCCTCTCCGCATCCAACACCGAGTACTGACTCGCCGGCAAGCTCATATACTCAACTGCAACAAAGCCAAATTCAAAAACAATCTCACAAAAATCTTAATAAATCTTTAACCAAACAAAGAAACCCGTTTCCTAACATTACTTAGAGGCCGCCCGAGTTGCTGGATCGAAACGGACTCCTTACGCCGAGCAATGAATCGAGCCTTCTGCATAGAACTGACCGAAATGCGACGTGACGGTTTTGGAGATTCATTTGATGAAGAGAAATACAGAGGCACTCTAGGAGTTTTTGATTTGAATGGCACGAAACTTGAGCTTAAAGTGGCATTTGAAGAAGCAGAGCAGTTTAGTAGTGCCATTTTACTATTGGCTTTTGGTATCAAAAGAACGAAAAGGGATAAGACCACTAGTGGCTCTTCGGTTAACCGGGCGTATCTTACAAACACGTGCTCTGATTTTCTAATTTACACCATGTGGGCCATTTCTTTTGGTTCCTTTTTGACAATTATACCCTCTCCTCCCTCCTCAAGAAATCTTTACCAATCCACAGGATCAATTTTTTAATTTTTTTTTTTTTTAAAAAAAAACAGAGAAAAAAAAAAACCAATTAAGAACAATCTGAAATGGTTGAGAGTTAAATCAGCAAGTCATTGATTCAAAAGCAAGAAAATACAATCAAACCAGACTCGATTACAAAACCTAACTCTTTACATAGAAAATACCCATTCAAAACCCTAACCCTAATACTATGAGCTGGTGAACTTAGTCACAGCTTTGGTTCCTTCAGAAACTGCGTGCTTAGCGAGTTCACCAGGCAAGACCAACCTAACAGCAGTCTGGATCTCGCGAGAAGTGATGGTAGGCTTCTTGTTATACCTAGCGAGCCTTGAAGATTCCTGTGCAAGCTTTTCAAAGATATCATTGATAAAGCTGTTCATGATCCCCATAGCCTTACTGGAAATCCCGATATCAGGATGGACTTGCTTCAACACCTTGAATATGTATATCTTATACGTCTCTACGCTCTTCTTCGCCTTCTTCTTCTTCTTATCGATCCGCCTTCTTTTGGCAGTTTCTTCTCTGCTCTTGGCTTCTTCTCCGCCGGTGCCTTCTCTGCCGGCTTCTTCTCAGCTGGTTTCTTCTCTGCCTTGGGCGCCATTAGAGTTGCTAAAGAATGAGATCCTTAATGCGAGAAATCGAAATTTCTGTGATCGAACCGAATCCTACAACGTTGTATGAAACGGTGACTGTGGTATTTGTTTATATAGAGAGAGAGCACGAGACATGATTGGTTGCAATTGGAGAGACGCGGATTGATGACGTGGACGGTTGGATTTGAGGATATGAAAAGGAACGGTGAGAGATGCGCAGTTTTGGGAGAGCGCAATTTGGAAAATTGAAAATTTTTAGTGCGCGCTTTGGGTTTTGAGATTTTAATTTTTTTGAATTTCGCGGGTGAGGTGCGAGTGAAGACCAAGTTGTATTTTTAATACATGCCCTATTTCAGAACTCAATTTTTTAAATCTGTTGAATTAATTTTACTATTAACAACTCCTCCGGAAAATATAAATCTTAATATTTTAATGAGCATTTTAAGGAGTAATATTTAATATTATTTTTATTTATATTAAATATAATAGCTAGTTTCATGACTTACATTTTAAGCTAAATAGTAATTTAGTTAAATTTACTCATGATTTTATTATAATTTAAAAAAATTATTTATTTATTTAATCGCCATATAAAAATATTAACTGATTTATATTTTGCGACAGATGGAATAATCAATTAGCTTTCAACCTTTCAATTTATAAATAATTTAGTCCAATAATTGGTAAAATAATAAAAATTTAATTTTTTTATTACAACTAAAATTTTTTTAACTTCATCTTTTCATTACTAAAAAATTCATATGTCTTTTTTATTTGGTCATTAATATTTTTTAAATCCATAAATTTAATTCTTCTATAAAATTTATATAGATGAATTGCATATCTATTTACTATTTTTAATTTAGTAGTTGATTTTTGTACATCATTGTAGATCACCCTTTATATTGTCCATCATTCTCTACACATTGTCCTTTCTAAGTTTTAAGCATATTAAAGGAATAGAAGATCTCTGTCTCTCCGTAAAAATCTCACTTTTTATTTTTGTTTCTCAACCTAACTTGATTCATTGTATATGATAGTACATTATCATTGATTAGTTTTGTTAGATCCTTTAGATTTTGAGCACTAGAATATTATACGGATAAATTTGTGGTACATTCAACTTCGCGACATAGTACATACCATGTTATGATCCGATCCTATGAATTGGACTAACACTAGAACTTAGATAAATTAAAGTCTTTTAAGACGCATAATAAGACTAACTTATAAAAAGGGTCATATGTTTTATTTAAGATAACAACCGGAACTTTATCTAACTTCAAAATTTATTTTAGAATACAATATTTGGCCCTTAATTCTAATTTTGAGCCTCAAGCCCTTCATAACACATATAGATGAATCAACTTGCTATCGTATCATATTCACTTATAAATAACAATTAGGTCTCATCATCATATTATAATAATATCTAGTAGGAGGCTTAACCATCCTCGATAAATATGGCATTTCGTTATATTACAATCATGATGTATTTTAAGTGATTTTTACAGAACTTTTAATGATTTATAGTAACAATAAACATAACAGAGCGTCATAAGGAAATAAAGTCTCAACATAAGAAGAAATATATCAAACTTCTCATCAACTACCCTATCTTGAATTTCGAAAACGGGATGAGCACTAAACTCAATGAATGATGTTATACAACACATACTTGATGTCATACGAAATTTTATAATAAAATACTCACACATATGTCAACCACAAGAGTTAATAAGTAGTCAACAGTGGATGAACTTAGTCAACAAGAACCAAATATCTAATTTTTAAGAATCATAATTGTCCAGCATAGGGTATTTAAGGCCTCAATGCATAAATGATCCATACAAGCTATTTATATTACTTGTCTAGTATACAATAGGATATATGAGACTCATGATATGCAGACTAATCATATAATCACATGTCCAACATATAGTAGGGTAGCTATCTCTCGATGCATGAACTTTTAATCACAACCATCAGTGGTTCCAATTCTACATAAGCATCCATAAACACTGTCAAATATAAATGCAAATCTTAACTGATATCACAAAATATGGAGATACACATATAATCATTATGCAACAATAAATAATATACAATTATATGATGCTAAATGTATGAATAATAGAAATGCATTAAGAAATTTCACTCACAAATTATAATTATGATTGGTACTAACTGAATCCTAGGTAGTACCAGAAGGTCCTGGATGATCTATGTTAATATATTTTTTTTTTTATCCTGCCTTTCAAAAAGAAATTTTTTTTGTGAATTTCAAGAAATTAATTATTAATTCAAGAAAAGGGAAGAAATAGTAAACATTAAATAAATGAGGTTGATGAAAAATGAAAGAATCACATTAGAAAACCCTAAAAATGAGAATTTTGCTGGAGTTTTAGCAAGAGGAGATCTTGTGACGGGCCGACGGCCATGGATTGAAGAAGTAAAGTTATGTTTTTCTTATTTTGATAGTATTACGTATAGTAGACCTTCAGGGCTTTGTAGAGGCCATTCCATCTGCAACATTAAAATTCCTCAAGCCCAGTGCCAATTAATATTCTAGTTTTCATTAATTTAATAAATGCAGTATGTTTTGTGGCATTAAGATGCTCGTGTCATGTGCATTATTTTGTTTCTTTTCATCTCAATGCTAAATGAGTTGCAGCAGCACTACTCAGGGAAAAAAATCTTATGTGAGTAAGAACGATCATGAAAATAAATTAATAAAACTATTAATTTCAGAATTTATATTGTCTTAAAAATTATATAATATTTATATTTTTTGTAAAAATTATTTTAGTGTTTATAAATTTTATATTTTTAATTAATACTTAAAAATGTATTAAAATATTATATATATATGATTGAACCGTATTGAATTCAGTCAAATCTTGCAATTTAGTGAATCTCTGCTTAAAATTTGATAACATGGTGCATATATTTAGTAATTACGAGATAATGTTAAGCACACGAATGCATGGACTTAAAACAAATGACATCGTAACCACATGGTCAACTCCCTTTTATAACATAAAAGCATGTCAATTTTTCTACCGGGTGCTAGCTAGGTGTGGGCATAAATCAATTAAAATTAAAAATTGAACCTAACCGATTTGATTTGGTTTTTCATTTCCATTATTGGATTAATTCATTCGGATTCAATTTATTATTTTACATAATTTTGGTTACACGAAATAATTTAAGTTTGCTAAAAAATCAAATTAAATTGAATATGCTGAATCGACTTGTTTGATTCCGAATAAAGTTTGGCATTAGTTTTGATTTAAGAAAAAAAACATTTTTGTTGTCGGCTTTGGTGGTTTAATTTGATTTTGAATCGAAATGACCAATTCCTCATTAATAGTTGATTTATATTTATGTTATATTTGTATTGTTTTAACTTTGTAAAAACTAATTATTCATACAGTTATATTTTTCAAATTAATATTTTGACGTGGTATTTTATTTATAATTATTTAAAATTAATAAACATCTATTGAAATTATTATAAAAATATAATTGTCACAATCCGTCTTCTTGGATCAAACCGACGCTAGAGCTTGGATAAATATAAGGCCTCCAAAGCCTCCAAAATCCTTAGTAAGGATTTCGTGACCATAACTACTTCTAAACCCATTATTATTTGGGGCCCAATACAAGTATTCGCAAACTTAAGTGTCTTATTGATTATATATATATATATACACACATATGAATATAAGTATTTACAATTATGAGGAAGGACAAGCAACATTCCTAATATCGTTTATTCAAATTTCTAAGTTTATTTACAATTTCAAAAGATTACAGTAATTGCGAAACTCTAATTACATAAAGGCAAGTAAGGTCCTTTTAGAAGAATAGATCTAGCTGCTCTGGAGGTGCCTACGGTAGTTGAAAGAAGAAGCTAATAACAGTTCAAGCCGTATTAGCAAATTTCAATCCCTCCATTCGATCCTCTAACGGCTACTGTTGAATCTCTTGAAGCGCCCTTGTGGATAAGAGCCGCCGGAGATTGGCCGGAGTTCAACTATCAAATTCTCTCTCTTTCTTTGTCGCACTAAGAACGGGCCGATGAGCATGTGGTGTTGGGAGGGACTAAGGGCGAAGCTTAGGTGGCGCAGGTAAGGTCTTTTGGCCGTTGAGTGGCTTGAAAACAAGAGAGGAGTAGAGAGATACTGCTGTCGCAGCTTCGCGACAAAGGAGAAGAGGAAGAGTGAAAGAAAAGAAAAGGAAAGAGAAAGAGATAGGGGAAACTCTGGGCCTTTGGGCAGTTTTAGGATAACTTAATAAATATTATTATTATTATTATTATTGATATTTTATTCAACAACTTCTTTAGGAAATCGGTTTAGGTTCAAAAGACTTGATTTGAGTCTATTCGAGTTTCAACTCGGTTCACATAAACCAAACAAACCATGACTATATGAAATAATTTTGATTCGAAGAGATCGTATTTACGTGGCATTTATAATTAAATTAAATTTTCTTAGTTTTGAAATTTATAATTCGGGTCGTTCAATAATAATATTATATATTATATTTTTAAATATAGTAAAATAGAAAATAATATATTCACATTTAAAAATTAAGCAATATATCATACAAGATAATATATAAGATAATTGCGCTTTTATGGCCATTTTATATTTTTTCAATACAACCATTATTAAAGCCTTATTTGATAATAATTTTTTATGCAGAATTTAGAGTTTTAACTATACTATATCTATTAAGGGCATGTTTGGTAATACAAACTGTTCTAATTGCTCTTAGTTCTTAGATGTTAGCGTTTACTTGTTTAAGTAGCAGTTGAAAGCACAAGCAGTAAAAACAATTATTTGATTGACAATTAAATTTAAAATAACAAAAAAAAAAAAATACATTGAAAAGTTGACTTATAATTGTCGGACATATAATTAAACTCATTATATATGTGTGGGGGGAGGGGAATAGGGAGGGAATAATGAGATTTTCGATATCACTCTTAATAAAATTTAAAATATCCTAAAATACCCTTAATGATGACCAGTTAAAGAATTTTATCAGATATTTAAATAAATATATATAGATAATTAAGCATTTCATTTCAAAA